TTTATTCACCTTTATGATCCGCTCCGAATCGGAGCAGTGGTTACGCGCCCATCGGCGCACCCTCGGCATTTTGTGCATTTCGCGGCTGGAGCTCGATAAATATTCACCCCGCTCGCGCTCATGGCATGGCGCGGCGGGCGGTTCACCGTCTCTCGGCGAGCGCGCGGTGGCGGCTGCCGACGCGATTTATCGACGAGTGCTTGGATACTCGATTCGAGGAGAGATGACGGACGGCTGAGAGATGCCACTGTAGCGCCGTATTCTCGAGATAAGGATGCTCCTCGGAGGTGGAGCGGCGCGACGCGTCGCATCGGTGTCTCCTCTAGTCGTGTTACGCGACAGGAAAATCCACCGGGCTTTTCGTTCTCCGGAAAACGCTTATCGCGCCGGATGTATGTATGTGAGCGAGAGAAACAGGCGCTCGCGCTCTCTCTCTCTCTCTCTTCCTCTCATTCTCTCTCTCTCTCTCTCTCTCGGCCGCGTCTCTAGCATGGTTCCTGTCACCCGACGTTCCGGACGATCGATCTTTGAATCTCGCTTACATGCTTGTCGGCTTAATCGATCTTCCATCGATAAGGGACTACGTTTGCGCTGTCTCGCATGCTCGTCGCCGTTTATCCACCTCGACATTAGGACGTACTATACACTCGCGAAGCGCCGCCACGATTGTTTACGGTGTCGACATCCGCTCGTACTTTATCGACATCCGACGTGAACTGATTTCACTCGTGGCGCGTGTGATTTAGAGTTACCGTAAATTGACGTTGCATCTTTGCGATAGCGTTCTCATTATTAACGCGAATATTTCAAAGACTTGGGTTAATCGATAAATAACCGCTGCCGCTTCCGGCTGCGCTAACCATCTTTATGCTCTCACCCTCTCCTTCCCCTCTGCCTCTCCTCGCCTAATAATGCTCTAACGGCAATATGACCGAAGTTTGTAGATGTTACATTGTTGTTTACGGATATCGTGATATATGACGGTGCTGCAATTCGTTATTCAGTCCAGCTGCATTATTCCGGCTGTGTATGTGCGAGCGCGTGTACTACGCGCGTGCACGTATTTCGGACGCTCTTAAGGGACTCGGTCCTGGAGGACGATAAATTCTGTTGCTCTCACATTTTCCGTGACTCCTGGTACGTGCGAGGATAAGGATAAAGCGGACGATGAAAGCTCGCGGCATACTGAGAATCCTCGCTCTTATTTATTTTCTTTTCTCGCCCGCTTGCCATTCGTCATGCCGTGCCGCGCCGCGCACCGGAACGAAATGAAAAACGCACCGGAAACGCTGAAAACAACCACGAGTCACGTGGAAATTACGAAAGAACAAGAGACATCCTTGTTCTCGTTTCTATTCGCCAATGAGAAATGCGGATAAGATGTCGATAGAAAGTACAATTTTTCGTGACAGGTGAATTAGACTTTCGTGATAAGAAATAGCGAATTTGAGAGAATAATTAATCCAAGTTTTTTTGTTCTTTTTTGTGGCCCGTTTCTTATGTAACATGATATGAATATCTTTATGTACGAGAAATGTTTAAATTAAAATTTGAATGCTCCTTTTTTTAAATCAAAAAATAAAAGAAACAGAGAAATTTAATACTTACAATATTAATTTTTTCTAATGATTATTTTTTAAGACAGTCTCTCTGATTTTCATACGTTATTGTTCCGGCAGTTTTCGTATGTTTCGAGAAAATTACTGTTTGTATTATATTTTTTGTTTAATTATTTAATTATACTTTAAATTTTTAAACACTTCTCGTATTTTATATACAATATTTTATATACAGTATTATATATTTATGTCATACATGACATCAAATTTATCGCTGTCGTAACATAAACCGTCTAGAACGTCTGACATCAGACTTGGAAGTGTCACGAGAGTCGAGTCACGCGAAAACGAGCCTAAGCAAATCGATCGGACAACTCGCGGTGACGGTTAAAGGCGGGATCGAGCGATTTTCCCCTGACGACCATCAACCTGTGTTCGCCTCTCTTCCAAGTTATTCCCGCTTCGGAGTCTCCCCGGAGGGACAATGGAAGGCCGTGAGAATGAGAGATAAGGGCGATTAGAGCGGGGGAGACCCAGAGCGAAGTGGAAGCGAAGTCCGTAAATCAGGATGTTACTCCCCTTGATCCGATTACGAGCGATTATATTCCGCGCGGAGTCTCCGCGAGAGGAGACCCGTCGCCGCTCGGCTCTCTCTAGTAACACAACCGGCTCCGCCAATCGCTTTGCAACTTTTTTCCCTTTCTTCATATTTATCTTCGTTGCCTCTATCTGTTTCCCATCCTTGTTTCCCGCGACAGTCTAAAGTCGAAAACGCGTTACTATATTTCTCTTTTCAATCAGAATATCCTCGATCTCTTAATGAACTCGACAAGAATGTGTGATGAGAATTTTTTTTTCGTGTAACAGACCTAACTTCTCTTCTTGGAAATGTAGAAACGTGGAAATCAATTTTACGCTATAATTTTTCCGCGATATATTTTTCCGTTGAACGTTCTGTATGGTTTCGACTCCACTTAATCCTTGGCATGAAGCTCTCGTGAAGCTCGCTTCTTTTTACATGAGAGACTTCTTTATATCTTTATCGTCTTAAAACGTTAACGACTTAAAAGTGCTTGCGATACTCTTAGCAACTTTGGAAAAATATCGACTTCGGGCCATTTCGTTGTTTCGCAGCAGCTGCATTGTCCATTAAACAGCCTTAAGTCCGCCTGCCAGTTCCGTACAGCTCTCGTAAAATTCCATATTCTTTAGATACTTTTTTTTCTTGTCGTCCGTCTATAAAAACCGCGCGCAAAAGCTTGTCACACAACTTAATTCGAAACATCAATCAATCATTCTCTAATTATTTTTTCTGAAAATTAACATCGCGTCACCTCGATTTCGTAATTTTGTTATTGCATGATGATATTTTTAGATTGTCTTAAATGACGTTTATACTTTTTATTTTCATATTTTTGCCCAATCAAAAGTGTACAAATTAAATAGATGTAGGTAAAAATAGATTATAATTAGAAGCCAAAGCATTTAATTAATTAAATTTATATTTCGCTTCGTACCACATTACAATCGGAATGGATGTTTCTATCATTTTCTTTTGGACTATGCTTCATTTCAAATACATTTCAAATTGTATTTGTTGTGAATACATTATAATATATCGAGGAAATTATCAGACCTTAATACGATTAATGATGTTTCGAGTAAGAAGCGAGCTTGCGATGCCAGTTTGTATCGAGCTGCCGATAGCAGGCAGGGCGGTAAGATGAGACGCGGCCAGGATACGATCTGTCGCTCAACAGATGGGAAACAGATAGAGATGTTGCCGGGTAACAATCGGGGATGCGCTGTCGCCTGGACGGATTGCTCGCGTTGTCATCCACGACGAACAATGAGTCGTGGCCGACCTCCCGAATGGAGAGATGGGATTTGCGTGGTCTCGGGTCGCGGGGCCGCATTTGATATCGGAAAATCAGGGAGAGCGGGCCGTGAGTCGCGACAATGCATTCCGGACATATTGCTCCTCGGGATTCTTTCCGCCGCGCCGGTCGCGTTGCGCCCCCGTCGTGTTGGGGGCTGACGTGCAATCGCACAGGTTCAAAGCTTTTATTCGCCGGGACGCACGCTATTATTTTGCATGTTTAATCGCGAAAACTTAGGAAACGGACGGATGACAAGTCGTCAGATTTCACGTACATCTGTTTGCCACGGTTACAAAGGATGCAAAGGTTGCTTCGTGAAATTAATATTGTGCTTTGGTAAAACATTCTATTGTTATTTCTAAATATTTAATAAGTTATACCCATCAAAAAAGAGCACTATAATGTTCGAAAATTCAAATATATAAATTATCAAAAATATGTGAAAATCTCTCTTTAATAAACTATAAATCCAGGTGTTTTTTTGACCTCATTTATAATAAAAAAAATCTCTAAGATTTATTGTTTTCTTATTCAATAAACACATTAAATCTGACATTAATTCTTAAAAGAGGCGCGACTGCTATCACAACCTCGATCACGCGAACCCATTTTTATTTCTGGTGTCAGAATCGTGCGTACACAAATCATTTGCAGGATGCGTCCCTGGATTTATGTCACTGCGCGGTTACGTAATGGTTTCGCCTGACGTTGCGTCACGCGGTTAGCGCCTATCGAGTCCTACCTATCTACGGATACATGAATTGGTTCGTCCTCTCCTTCTGCTTATCTTCTTCCGTTTTCTCTCTCTCTCTCCCTCTTCTCCTATCTCTTACGGAAATGCCATGGCGATATGTCCCGGTTAGCCGTGTACTTCGTCTTCGGACAGAATTTTCGATCGGGCAAAGTCTCCGCGTTCCTATCGTGCTGCGGTTGTACGGTTCGATTAAATTTCCCCGGGATCCTGTGTGGTTACGGAAGTCTGGTATCTGGCATTCGAGCGTCCGTCCTGCGGTCAGTGGCTGTTATGTAATAAATGTTCGGCGATCCTTAGTAATTGCCCGAAGTTTAATCGTTTGAATGCATGTGTCTTTGACCGAACCACGATGGGAGGAGACTGTATAGAAATGTAGCGCAAACAGAATTATTGAATTTTCTACTTATCTATATTTTTATTATTCCTTTTTTTTCACTCTAAACACACGTATGTATATAAGAATAGAATAAGAATGTCTAGATAAAATAGAAAATATAATATTTAGGGAAATGAAATTAATTTTATTTCAATGGATACACTAATCGGCGAATTGAAACCTTGAGATCATTGCCTGAACAAGGCTAATCGTTTCCTGTAGTTTCTTAGACGTTAAATATGATTTCGCTTACCAAATTGTCCTATCATGTCAATTTTGAGAAATCTCTATGATTTTTGCAATAAAAGGCTATTTTAGTATATTTTAATATATTATATCTATACGATGTGCGACGAATGAAGAAATTTTATTGCAATCAAAATAAAATATATTAGAACTTTCAGCCTTTTGTTAATTAAAAAAAATGTTTATGATCCTTACTCATTTATTGCATCAAACTTGTTTATGTCCTTAAGGCATTAAGGATCTACCAAATATGTTTTAATTATATTTTAATTAATTGTCACGCGAGTTGCAGCATTAAAATAGTGGACAACGATTTTAATATGCACCGACGCGCACTAGTGTGTCCCCAATCGAATCCGCTAATAGTTCAATACAAAAAAAATCGGTACGTGACAGGAATTTTTTGACCTCGATTCTTGGATTTAGCGTGGTGTCAATTAATATCCTAAAAACATTAAAATGTCCGACGCAATGAATTTATCGCAGACTAGCGCAACCGCCGTAAATATCTATCGATTTATCGCACAATTTGTTTCGTGTCAGATGTAAAAATTATTGTAACATATTTTTCTGAGGTATACACGCGAGAGTTTTTTCGATCAAATTCGAGAGAAATGGAATTCTCAAACTTTAACATAGGCCGCGTAGTTCGCTACGCCGCAACGATTTTTGTTTCTCGCCAGTCGCATGTAGCCATTTTCACCCCAACTATTGCCCCACCAGTTCTTCAGGATCCACTCGGTCGGCGTATATCCGACGACGAGCATCGCATGGTTCACCATGTCCGAGCTGCATTGAGGATCGTCGTAGATGCCTTTGCTGCGAGTGAAAATACCGATTAGTATCTAAAACTCACTTATACGATTTAAATGGACATTATCATGTTTATATTTTTCGCTATTACCAAAATATAAAAATGATAATTATCATTAATAGATGGAAAATTTGAATCGGATGTTCTGTTTCGCGAACGAAGCAAAACATTTCGGCGCGTGCGTCAAGTCTGATATGAAGATTGGCGTGGAAAAAGGAAAATAGAGAAATATAATCACGAGAAAGTTTCCCAAATAGATGTAAATCACCGACATTGAACTTGCGAACTATGCAAACTATTATATATACAAGAGCATGCAATATACATATATATATATTACTAATACATTATGTTTGCATGCTGATATCACGTGTTTTCGATCGGCATCCTGTATTTATTTGTTAACTTGAGAAATAACGTCTCGAGGACATCTTTATCGCTTCCCGTTTACCACTCGTGGTAAATGGTTTCCATGATTTTTCCACGACTCCGGGTATTTATTGTATGCACGCCGGAAATGAACAACGGCAGGAAACGGTCGCGCCTTGGCATTGTCGAGCCCTTTAGAGAATAGCACGAGTTCAATGACTGCGCATCGGCGCTTCGGATGAATGAGAGTCATCGTATCGGTGGTATGCTAAAGGTTATCGTGCGATTCTTCGACGGGGGTCTGGGCAAAATTTCCAATCTTCTCGCCTTTCGTGTGTAAACATTGTACATTGCACGCATAACGCCGAAATTTTGATAGTATACCAATAATCAGAGTGCTACGGCCACTTGAATAATTTAATATTTGTACAAATACACATGGTATCTGAGTAATCGAATACTATTATTAAAGTTCTTATTCTTATATTATTATATTTGAGAATGCTTTCCTTACAGAAATTTAATTTAAAATATTTATTTACCAATTTAATATTACAAATTATTAATATAATTTAAATTATTATACTATAAAATATGTACAATTATTATTATACTTATTTTGCTTTATTTTTTTTTCAAAATAAGTAATTAATTATCTTTCAGTATTAAATTTTTGTAAAGGCTGATTTGATAATTTATTGTAATAATAAGTTACGAAAGGATAAACTGCAGATAAATGCGTATTTGTGCATTGATGATGATAATCAACTGCGATCAAAGATGCGAATCCGAATTAAATCTGACGACTCGTTTGCGCGGCTTCTCGAGAGGCAACAAATTTATCGGGGAAACTTGACTAAAATATTTATAACTAACATATTTATTACCGGATTACGAGCGATTAGCTATCTGAGCGAAAAAAACTGTTTGTCACCGCTGGCTCGTTATCGGTAGAATTTTTTTTCGAATTTACGCCGCGAACGCATCGCAATTCGTACTGTTGTTTTATTTCTCCTCGAATCGATCAGTCGGCCCATAAAATGCTGGAAATTACCGTGTGAGCGCAATATTTCTGCGGGTTTGCGCGCAATAAATAGCAGATGTCTAAAATTATCGCATATTTCTTCTTGAAACGTGACACGCTTGTCGGCGTCCTGCGCGTACGTCATATGCTCGTTAGCGACAATTCGCACGGGCAAGGTTTTTTTCTTTCTTTCGGTGCAAATAAAAAATACGCCACTCACTGATAAAGCTGGAATGTCTTTGGGCTGGCATTTATGGAGGCGGCTATGGGACCTATTGTCGCCACTGCTATTTCCAGAGCCTTCTCGTCCCGCGCCGGTAGGATTGCCCACGATGTTATATTGACGACACTCTGGTCCCTCTGAAATCTGCATTCCCCTTGCTAGAATAATTTGGAGATACAAGCGTGAATTATCTAACTTATTAACAACGGAATATATGCGTATATTGTGTATGTTAATAATGAAAATATAATACAGGACGTTTCCCTTAATTCGACCATTTAGTTAGAATTAAGTATAAAATATCTCGTATAAACTCTTAATTTTTTATAATTCTACTTTAATACTTTTATATGTAGAAGTTAATTAAAGTAACCATATTATATAAAAGAAAAATCATATAATTCCAAAAAATGGAGGTGATCTTGAAATCTCGTCAAATAACAAGCATGAAAAAAATACTGTTTATTCTTTCAAAATAAACAATTTTTTCTTTCATAATTGTTGGTATCGTTAAAAACAACAGAAATATTTTAAATGCTATGAATTAAAGGAAGTATTCTGTATAGTAGCTTAGTGTATAGTAATTTAATTACTATACACTATAATAAAGTACTTTAATTATTTTATTATACTTACTTGAAAATTTATTTTTGCGTTATGGCGACACGGTTGTTTATGAAATATTTTAAACGTTTCAAAAGTGTTTTATTTTCAAAGTTCACAGTTGAGGTTAACCTTATCATAACAGGTTATTATTGGAAACTTTCGTAGTTATTATTGGCATAGCTATTTCCGTTGATATTATTCTATTTTCGTTGATATTATTGACATGAAATGATCGTTGATAAAAATGCACAGAGATATCTAATTTCCGAGTGCATACGAATGTGATTGAGGTTTGTTGAAAGAAACATGACGGAATGAAAAGAAAAAAAAATAGATAGCTTTCGAGGAAAGTAAGGCAGCTTTACGTCAGTCTATTAGCATGCGTTTTGTTCTCGATCGAAGTCGAAAGTAATAAACATGCACGGAAAGTACTGCTTCAACGAAATGTCAATAGAATAATATCGCTTAATTCTAGGAAATTAGTTTAACAGAAAAATAATGAATATTCGGAGAACTTTGTGTACCAATGTTTGTGTTGACGCTATGTTAAATTGGAGCGTATGTCAATTATACGCGCCTGATGGTTGCATCATTTGAACTTCGTATTCATGACATCGTGATTTTAAATTGAGTCAGCTCAACCAGATAAGCGCGTTCACTTCTTATTGCTTAAAAATAAAAGAGTAATAGTCGCGCGTGCTACACGCGCTTTTTTTTTTAAATTCTATATGAAACGTTTCGCCTCCCTCGCGCGCTGCTCGCCCGTATATATGACGTAAAGTGTATTTACTATTAATAGAAGAGCCTGGCGGAGCCATCGTCACGCAGCCATTCATATTACGGAAGTTTATCGCGTTAACGTGACTGGTATAATTCCCGGGATTCTCCTCCGCCGAAATCTTCCACAAATTTTCTGACATTTCTTGACTGGCGGAGACCCGCGGAATAATGGAAGAGAGAAACCTTGGCGTTTACCTCTTTATTGCGATAATTAAATTCGCACTGTCAGCACCTTCGCTCCGTCGCGGCCGCGCTAATAATGCATCATTATACATTATGGTCACGGTGAAAAAAAAATCCAGACATTCAAGTTCTTTAATTCGGCAATATTAGAGAATTTACAGCACCGTTATTATCGGAATAAATAAATTTTTATGACTCTGATTAATCGCCGATAAAATCAATTTTACGTTGATTGTCAGGAATAAACATTTTTTTTGTTTTTTTTTTGTTTTGCAAAGAATGCAATTCTCTTTGTACTTTTAAAGTTTAAAGGACGCCGAACGTTTTATAATGCTTTGCAAATGCGAAAGCGATTCGAGAGTTGCATTTTAATAAAACGGTGCCCCCGACGGAATATCGTGTGTGTCGTAGGTACTGCCTGACAGTTGGGAAAGTGCAGTGCATACCTCGCCGTTGTAGGGATACATGGATCTAGCCATGAGACCTTTCGACTTTTCCAAATATTTCAAAGTGTTCCTAAGGGAGCCGCCGACGCAGCCGAGGTTCCCGGTCGCCGTGCTGCAATCTACCAGCTGTTGTGTGCTCAGGGATAGCAGCATGCCGGTCTGCTTGAATATCTGCCCCTCTATACTTTCCGCGATCGAGTAAGCGTAACAACTCCCGCAACTCCGTTGGTTCACCGGCGGAGTGACGAAACCGTATTCGCGCCAATCCAGACGTTTTGGTATTTCGCGAGGATCCTTCAGAGCCGACACGATCGGTTCGGTCGGCAGTCGACGTCTTCGACTCGGCATCAGTTTCACCTTTTTTTGTTTTATTCAGACAGAAATTAATAGGAGAAGCGGTTTGTAGTTTGTATCAGGCTACGCATTATTGGAGAATTGCGAATTGGAGATTAGACCTCGAGTAACCAAAACGAAACGAATTAAAATTAAAATTGTCTAATTAGCCGAATTTTCATCTTTAATTTGCAATCTTCAATGCGTAATCTGATTTGAGCTTTGGTGTCATTCATATTTCGTAACAAATTACTACAGTATTGGTCATATAAGTATAAAGCATTTTCATAAATTGACGTAAACTTCTATATTTAACGAAAAATAAATTAAAACACAATTTTACTGAAAAATAATGCTTATTTTTATATCAATTTTAATATTGTGTTAGTCTTTCTTTTATTATCATTTCCAAGAAAATGCAATAAATTGAGGGTAGTTTATACTTATGGCCAAGGCTGTATAATATCGTGATGGAGAATTGAGATTTTAAAAATGTTATTATTTAAAGATCAAGAGAATGAGAAAGAGGGGAGCAAGACAGAGAGAGAGAGAGAGAGAGAGAGAGAGAGAGAGAAAGAGGAGGAGGAGGAGGAGGAGGAGGAGAGACAGAGAATTAAAAATTTAAACATGTCGGATACTTGGAAAGTTGGATGAATAGAGTATAAGTGCCATTAATTACCAACCATTTCGCGCATATATTGTCGAGTGTTGAGATCGGCAATATGATTATCTCGCAGTGTGTAACTATGATGCCCTGCGGCAGCCATTAAATTGTGCTTATAAATCTCCACAAGATTTTGCTCCCAACACGCTCTTCTCGCGTTTTCCAGATTTTTTGCGTATGTCTTATTAAACTGCGTCTGTATGTTCAAACATATCGTGATAAAATATGATGTGCATGATATACAATATTTTATACGAGATCGATCTATTAGAGACTTTACAACACCAACGATTTTAATTTTAAATTAGGATCACTTGCTGCGTCTCAATATTGATTAATACATATTAAGAGCATTAATGGATCTATGGATTAATTTGATTACCATCATTATCGTAACAATCAATTAGTGTCGAACAAAAGACGCCTTATTGTCTCGTATTAATGTGTTTGACATACACATTATTGATAGGTAATATAATTAAAAGAAACTCTTATATTACATAAACGTTCTTTAAAAATTAATTAATATAACTTTACGTCGCAATTGGAAATTAAAATCATGAGAGCAATCTTTGACGAAAAAATTTGTCTCTTTGATCAATACGAAATTAAAAAAATACACATTTGAGTCAGCCTCTCGGAATATTTTTATTTTAAAAATACGTATATGTTACCTTGTAGGTTTGCCAATAATCGTCGAGCTTCTCCGAGATATTCGGCGGTAAGGTGTTCCCATTGAACGGTTGAATCGCGCGTGCCCCGGGCAAGATTAATATCGAGAGCAGCGTCGCGCACAATCGCGAGCACATGGTGACCCGCGGCGAATAATTTACAGTCCTTAATTAATTCGCGCGGCAGACCCGAGCGACGACTATCTTGACGTACCTTACGATACTGCGATGAGGTCATAACGTGTAGTAACGATCAGTGTCAGCGCATTCTGTGAATTACATCACCGGACAATCGCTCACGTTATGCTGATGTATATTTACCTCGTCAAATAATAATTTTACGCTCAATGTCGCGCCTTCGGCTCTCTTTCGCGTACAGGTAGCTCGCATCGCGCTTTCGCGTAAGTAGCTGAAACAGTTCTTAGTATGATTACTAATTGGAGAGGGAAATGGTTTGCAATTATTGCAACATGCTACATAAGTACGAAACAATTCGAACAATCAAATGTATTTTCGAGAAAGCGGCTTCTCTTTTCGCTAAAACAATGGCGTTCAAAACACACAATGACTTAATTGTGTACCACACAATAATTATCTGATTGATTCGAAGAAAGCAATCGGCGAAAAAACGGTCTTTATTATATCGACATATACAGCGAAATAAATATTTATTTTACTGTTTTTGTTTACGAATTATTCAAAGAAATTGAGAGATACACGAAAAGAATAATTTTGCTAAACTATCTGAAAATTTATCTACATATATACAGATCTGAAAATAATTTTATTCGACTATCAAAATGCAGTACGGTCGAGCGTAATGGATAATGCTGCAAAAAGTTTTGACGTTCCAGCAAGCGACTTGAGTGTCCCACATAATTATATTGAAGGTCTAACATCGCGATACACTGCTACGTTGTATAATTTATATCAATAAATTTAAAATCTTACAATATATTAGAATTATTATAATGCTTCAACGCATTTGATTATAAATTAAATCGCTTTTCATTTGTATAATATGCATATTCTCAAAAACTTTACGAGAGCAAGTAAAATTTTGAAACAGAGGAACTCGAGATCAAGAGAAGTACGGGAAATCATAACTCATGATTTTTATTTATCGTTTCATTATCATTTCGCGACGGTCGTCGCGAAAGCCGGGAAGATTGCCTCGCTACTTCAAAGGATGCCGCCGGTCGATCACGTTACCGCGAGATGGCGGCAGGCGTAAGTCAAACGCCGCCGCCGCCGCGAAACATCCGCGGCGGTCCCCGGCGGCCGCGCCGGCCGGACGGTCCGCGTAGTACCGATACGCGCGCGCGTCACGCTCGTCTCGTCGTGCTCGTGTCGGGGCGTGCTCGCGTTCGCGCCTCATCTTTCCGTACGTACGAAACGTATTGTCGCGTCGTCGCGTTCGCCGTCGCTGCCACCGTCGATCGTCCTCGTCGTCGTCGTCGTTTGCCCGCGCGCCGCTGAGGTAAATCGCCGAGGGATCGCCGCGCGCGAAAGAGGCGATGGAACGCGCGCCGCAGCCGAGAAGGAACGTCACGGACCCGCGCACGCGTGCACGCGCGGCCGCCGCCGCCGCCGCCGCGAACGCCAGCAACACGCGCGAGAACTCTTGACACTCGCGCAAAATGGGAGTCTCTTCGCGGTGCTCGTGATCCATCAAAGAAAAAAAAAAACAAAAAAAACCGCACCGTGATCCATCTCCCATACATCCCGTGCGCTCATCTCCTGAAAGAAAATTCTGTCGTTTCGATCTCCGTTCGTCGCGACTCTTTCGCAACGCGTCGCTCGTCCAAATCGTTAGATCGTTCTTCCTTTTTTTCTCTCTTTCTTGCTCTCTCTCTCTCTCTCCGTCTCTACTCTTCACTTGTCGTATCTCTCCGCTTCATCGTTATCTTCCGCGGCGCGCCGACGCGCGTCTTCGTTGTCTCGGCGAAACTTCGGAACGCGCGCGGATCCTCGCGTTTCATCCGGCCACGCGGCGGTGGCGGCGGCTCGTCGTCGCGCGCGGTACATTCGAAGCGCCCGCCGGGACGACGCGATGGACGAGTCCGGGGTCGATATGGGTTTCGATCTAACGGCCGCGTTCGCCGTCACCGATCCGATCGCCCACCACGTTTCCGCCGGGGATTACGACGACGAGTTCGAGCAGGCCCTCTCCCTACTGTCGACCTCGACCAAGGAACTGATGTACTACGAGCTGAAGAGCCGCGCACCCGACACCGGCAGGTACGTTAAAGCCCGCGGCGCGCCGATGGTATCTCGGAAAGAATTTTATTTGATCAAACACACTAACTAACGAGATAACGAAAGGCATATTCCGTTTGACATTGACATTGTTACGGTGGTGATGGGAGCGAAACTTAATCCATAGATCCATCAATATATTGTCAGTATCTAATAACATCGTGATTTGGCGATTAATATTTAATACTAATGTTACACGTGAGTCGGAGAAACGGTATGATTACAACGCGAGCGAGGTGTATAAATTACTTGTATTACATCAATCATAATTATTGGACGTGAATTTTATTTACGGCATATATACGACGTATACGAGTTAGGCGGGACGTATGTATGCGTACCGATGTACAAACAAAAGGAGGCGGATAACTCCGGTTCCACACACAGCTCATGTGGTAGTATGTAGCTCATGAGTGGTGTACGCGAGAGACGGTTTTATTTGGAATACGATATCGCGCGAGGCTGCAGTACGCGAACGATTATAAAGCAGCATGAGAGATATGGGGATTTTATTACGAGCTGAAGAAGATTTTAGACAGCAATTGATTTAATGCATGAGTGTATGCAATGTTTCGATATTGAACGTAAATTTGTCATAGACAATATTACACGATATAAGAAAAAATTATAAAAGTTTATGTAAAATTTATGATTGAGTAATATTGAGTGTTTTTTTTTTATTTAAGTCTCGAATACGCTTTGAAATTGTAATATTGACGCAGAAGAACTAAATCTCTAAAATTTTCCGTGTCACGCTAAAGAGATTGAGGATTGCGAAATTGGAGATTAGAATTCGACCAGTCTGAGTGCGACCGAATTCCACTCTCCAATTCGCAATCCTCAATCTCCAATGCGTAGTATGACACGAGCTGTAGTCTCCGCGAATATAGCCTTGAAATTGCATTTTAGAAAAATAGTAATATAATAACAAATAAACCCTTGAAAAATGACTTTCAAACTCAAATTGGAAAAATTAAGTTTCCAGACTTTGACTTGATGATTGATGGAATAATGTTTGCCTAACTTATTCATGGTAATAAGTTGAAAATCGTGCTTTTTTTCGAGTTGTGTAATTATTGAAGCGAGAATTTGGTATGTTAATATATTAAAATTAAAGAAAATCGTTATATATTTTATATTATATTATGTACATATTAAACACGACGCAGTTAAATAATTATCGTTAATAGTGTTATCTGATGGGTGATATTTTGATCGTTGTTTTATATTGAATGCGATAAGCCAGAGACTCGGAGCAAACACGTGCGCATGAAAACACGTGGCTTTCATAACGAGAAATTTAAGATTATATCGTGCACAAATGATGACAATGCTAATTGCATACGAATTTGTGTGCTCATTTGTGTTCGGTGGGAAATATTTTGATTAAAAATTTAATTTATATTGAAACAGATTGTGAAGAAAAGGACAAACAAAGGAGTAATAACTATATTTATCGTAACAAAACAAGAGTGATGTGTCGTCATAATAAAATTATGCCGTGTTAAAATGATGCAATCGAAAATTAAATTTAATAGATAATTAATACTTTTAGATATCAGAATGATAATTTTTTGAATCAATTAGCTTTTAATGTCACATTTATCATAAGATACAAAAATTCTTCACAGCGTCACAGAGATGATAACTTTTTTGAAAAATGGAATTATACTGACAATACGATAATGACACATCGAACAGATAATTTTAGATAATTGCCAATTTCACAAGAATTTTAGAAATTAAACAATTTTGAAATTTTTTGTTAACTAAATACGACAATAAAAATAATTAATCGTAATTTTTAAATGCATACGATTACTCGATAGAGTCACATAAGTTATCTAATCGTGTTACAAACAGAGGATATATAAAAATAGTGGTGGCAAGTCAGTAGCAGGAAATATTCTTTAAGAACTACTTTTTAGAGTTATAAAAATTTTTCCTGTTTTAATTATTTAAATTTCCATGCGTTGTCGAACGCTTGGAAATTTAAATAATTAAAACACGAAAAAATTTTATTACTAAAAAAATTGTTTATATGCATCCTTATTTAAATCCAATTTTATAATATTTATGCGACTTCTTCGAAAATATTGTTTATCATTATATTTATTGACAGGCGACATTTTTTTCTAGATCACTCGCTGTTGTTATTGATCTTGAATTACTTTTTTCATGTGAAAACACTGAAATAAGATCATGTAGGTAAGAAAGCAAAAATAGAATCGTTGAGATAACGAAAGTGGAGACGAACAATGGATATTTGACGCGCGCACGCGCCAATTAAATTTATCAATCCGTATATTCTACGTAGCAAGTAAAATGCCAGCATACAATGTTTGCGTGTTTATTATAAAAATTAGCAATTCGTTTTGTGTGTACAGTTCTTGATAACATTTTTAATTTACATAGAGCTCTAAAGAAATGATTGATAATTTTTGTAAGTATATTATATTTTGCTCATTTGCTACATAACTCAAAAATTGTCTTTTTTTAAGTTTTTGAGTCACTTCCAGAAAAAGAATGAAAACATAATGAAACAAAGAAAAAAACACTTTAAAAAGGACATATTTTTATTCCTTTACAATCAATTATTACATAAAAAATTACATGTCAAAATTAATGTTACACATATATGACTCAAACATTCACTTTATTTTCTGGATAATTTTTTTTTGGCGTTTGTTGTAGCAAATGAGCGGATATGTAAGCACCAAGAGTCGAGAAGATATACTTTTCGAAAAAAGGAACTTTTTTACCGTTTGGTATTCGATAGATAGTGGTCCATCGCTTGAAGCGAGACCCACATATGTGTCCATACCGCGTACAGATGGAAAAAAATAAAAAGAGACTCCTATTCCAATTTTGAGTGCAAAATCGAATCAAATCCAATCAAACCTTGCACGTGCCCGGTTTTTGACAAGAATCGGAACGTGTCGTTGTAATAACTACAAAAAAGTGCAGTATCTGCGTTATTTGTATCTTTCGGCGGCGTGAAGATAAAATTAAACAAAAAAAAAAAAAAAGAAAAACAGCGAGAGAAAGATCGGAAAAATTATTTCTTCAAGCAATTTTTCTTTATTGCTGTTACACTGCTTTGAACGACGTGGACTGCGTCTCTCGGGATCGGGCTTTTAAATGGCATTTAAAGTCGTTCTAGTCATGAATCTATCAACTGAGACGATTGCACGTACAAAGGCATCTCTCCGCTCGTTCGGACAGAGTCGCGAGCGAGTGGCAAGCGATCGTGATTGGTAATCGTGATCTCTCCAAGGAAAACACGCACTCTCGTCTCCGCTTTGATCAACAGTCTATGCATCTTGCATACCGGCATTAGACTCTCGGGTACCAGCGATCCGCGAGAGAGTGCCGGGGCTTTATACACGGTGAAGCTACCGCGGATATCAACTTTCACAGTCTCCGAGAGTTTGCACGGGGGATGCTCGAATTGCGCCCGAAAGTTCTCGCGCCTAATCAGCTTCATCCGTCGGGCGTTAATTGATTCCTATGGAGAAGGCAACACGAGCTCGAGCTAAAATTTCAATTGCACATAGCGTAGAACGCTGCCGCGAGTGATCGTCTACGGAGAGAGGAATGCTGCTAGGGGCCCTTTCAAAATTTTCCGCGCGCTAAACGAGAATATTTACGCAATAAAAAATCGAGTAAAGTTTTGATCTTGTATATGTTATCGATTTTAACGAACGGCAACTGTTTACCGTTTCGTTCGTGACGTTGATCTCTTCGCGACGATCTACGATACGATAATTTACGTGACGACGTATTGATCGTCTTCAGATACGCGTTATGAGTCGGCCAACATACGCACACACACACACGGACACGCATTAGTGCGAATGAATAATAATGATTTCCGGCTGATATATTGGGAGAGGGGCTTAATCTTACATCAATAATCTTTCGAAAAATAATGGAATGCGCGTTTAATTTCCGTTTACGATAAACCATCGCGAGAACAATGACACAATGCTTTGTCACTCAGAAAAATACAAAAAGTGCGAGAAAAAAAATATCGAGTTGCAGTACGAATACGAATTGTAAATATTAGGTGATGTTGGACAAATGCAGAGGCAGGCAAGAGAAAAAAAAGAAGAGAGAGAGAGAGAGAAGAGGTGAAGGAGAAGGAGGTGCTGATAAGTTGTTTCGCGGATTGATATCTTCGAATTTTGCGCACGTCATCTCGCGAGGTATCTAGATAGGCTTGACCTTCGGTTTTATTGCGTTCACGTCTGTATTGCGGAAGGTAGGGGTTCCGAGGGATCAACGATCTTCTCGATAGAAGCAATCAGCGAAAGTAGAAGAGACGAAGTGCTATTTCATAAATACGATTGAGGAACAACCTCCATTTGCTCATGGAAGTCCGACGTAGAGATAGGTATTCTCTCATTTTCGATACATTTTTTGTTTGACGCATTTGACGTAGCTAATAGGAGACAGAAATTACAATTTTCAAAGAACCGTAATCTGCAAATTTCTGAAAACACTTAACGAAAAAAAAGGAATATTTTATTATTTGTAAGTTAATTATTATTTTTATATAGGCTGATTGATTCGCATGTCCATCGTCATATTAATCTAATTAGCTGATTCCGAGTTATATTCCAGTATTTTTATTTAGAATAGAGTAGCTGCGATTTCCAAGGTTAAATAATATGAATAATATCGAGAAACGATATCGTTTAGAGTGTAATTGATTATTAGGTGACATTAGACTTAAGGAGTGCTTCGTGACTCGGCGCGGTCCGGAATATAAACTTCATGAATCATATTCATTCATTATTGACGTACAAATGACGTGTATTAAAAAAAAAACTTTTATCGACAATTTAATTGCGGGACCTTCATTTTTTCAGAATTTTTTAAATTTTGATTGAATTAATGAATACACATCTTAGAAAGCCACAATTAGAATTTTGTTAGGTCGTAATTCTAATAGGCACTTTAACATCTGATTTATAAGT